CAGAAAGAAGCACTTGCGGGGTGAGAAGTGTTAAGTGTGAAGAGCACGGGGTTTTTTGGTAGGCAGGGCGAGTCATTTCGGGTCGTATCGGCACCGCATGAGCTCTGTGCGGAGGAGCTGGGCTCCCGGAGCAGAGCCTCCTGGCCGTGGGAAATGGTAGATGGCTCCCACTCGAATTGGGGTCGGACACGGGGTCAGCACCAGGGAAGAGCCGTTCAGGGTTGACTATTAAAAACATGCTTTTAGGGTTAACGGATAAAAGCATCTGTTCTTCAATGTCAGAAAGCCCAGGTAGTTTAAAGGTCTTTTTGCACGTAACAGTTCAGTGGCTTACTGTGTTTTAAAAAAAAAAAAAAAAACAAACAACCAAACAAAACAGCACAGCATTTTCTCCATAAGTAATTTGGATAATTACAATAATAAACCAGCTTCATTATAAGTAATTTTGGAAAAAAACTTTAAATACACCAGAGAAGGTTGCTGCCAGTTGTTTTAAAATGCACCCGATGAGAAGACGGGCAGGGTGCCTGCGGGCTCCTGTGAAGCTGAGGGGACTTGGGGCAGCTCAGCTGCTCTTCAGCTCCTGTCTCCTAATTCTTAAAAGAACAAGGCACATTGGGCTCCTTGGAAGCGCAGGTGTTTCTCGGATAATAGTCATCTGCGTGAAGGTCAGATTCTGTGTATTGGAGTAATTCCCTTTTAATGCAGGGCATTACACAGCCTCTGGTCCCATCTCAACTTCATTCAGAAACTTGCGTTGAATTTTGCTCAGTGTTGAGTTATCGCAGTACTGCACAACTGCTCCTTCTTTCTGTAAAAGGGAAGTTTTAAAATACCAATCATGTAAAAATACTGTTGGCAACCTCTCCTTAAACACTGCTATACTGTTGTGTGTATGTGGCGGTGTCTTTTTCCTCCTTGCTTTTGCCCAGTCTTGGCAGACAACTAACCAAGCTTTTTACTGGTGATCTAAAAATCAAGAAAATGAGATCTTGAATTATTTTGTTTGTGCTTAGTGTCTTCAGGAGAACTTTAATATTTAAAAAAAAAAGTCATAGCAATTTGTGTATTTAAATTTATAGTTATTATAAAACAGGCTATGTTACAGTTTACCTTGAAATAATAAAAATTTAAAATCGTCACTTGAGAGCAACTGTATAAAAAGATGCTAATAAATTTCTTTCCTTCATCACTCAGTCGAGGTTCTGTAGTATGGTAGGGCCTGTCTTCCCTGACGTGGTGTAACAGGGGAGGGAATTGCAAAAGTGCTCCCATCCTAAGGGGTACAGTGAATCTAGAGTGCAATGTTTATATAGGTGGAGAACTTCACTTTTTGGTCTGGCAGCTCTCTGTGGCTTTTGAAGGTTTGTTTTTGTCAGTGGTCCTCTTTGTTCTCCTGTCTTCATGCTCTTTTGATTAAAGGAAGGAGTAGGAAGGCCTTGCTCACTCTGCCTGTTGTCTTACCCATCTCTTCTTATCCTGTGTCTAAACTAACAATTTCAAGCTTTCCTGATTTGGAGGTTTGCCGAACATCTGTGCCACCTGGGTTTGACCTCTTCACTTGCTGATTTAAGAAAAAATAGTTAGGGACGAATATTGCCTTTGGAGCAGTGTGTCATGCAGATAAGTAGCTGCCTTCTAATCTTTCTGCTGCCTCTTTAATGCCTTCACGTGGTGTTCCTGTAGGGTTGTTGCCTGGCGAGATGCCTGGGCTGAAGACCTTCCTCTCTCTTTTCTGATCGGTTAAACCCTCCACTGCGTGAGGAGCTGGCTGTTCCTTCCCAGTGTCTGTGGTCTTGCGCGTGTCAGTGTTGACATCCTGTTGCTCAGCTGATTTGTTGAGGGTGGTGGAGCACTCTTGATTTTGGTTTTTTTTTTTTCTTTTTAAAAAAATGTCTATTTTTTCCCAGTAGTGAGGTCCAACTGTAGAGCTTTGGTAGGCACAGCTGAAATGCATGCCGCTGATGCGGGTGTACAGGCCAGGAGATGCACTGGGGAAGAGCATGAAGTCAAACAGAGTGATGGCTGTTGCTACCGTGCCGCTCTTGTAAAACACCATCGTTTTGTTGTACTCTTGCACCATGTTGTTGTATCACTAGAATTCCTTTTTTTCCATCCTTACATTTGGCTTGCGGCAAGCACAACAAATGAGGCAGGTAATAACGTAGAAACAAATAATGGAAATGAGCTTGAGATCCTTGAGAAGAATTTGAAAATAATGGCATTGTTATTTTTCTCCACTCCTCCTTCCCCTCCACAAGGATTTCTTATTTCTCTAAGTAATCCAACTTTCTGTAGTATGTTGTGCTTCCAGACTTCAAAACAGGTGCTCTGTATGCCTCAGTACGACATCAAAAACTCATTCTATATAAAGAAAAAAAAACAGACAGGCAGATAATGCCAGCTTTTCCCTCAGTTCTGAGACTGGCCTTGATAGTGCTGGTGTGAGCTGCAGCCTGGCTGGCATCCAGGTTCCTGGCTGAATCCTTGGAAATAAGAGTAAAACCAAGCACGAGAGGAGATTTCATTCAGTCCCTTGTTCCTGCTCTGCCACCCCCCTGATTTTGACTGTCCGTATTTTTTCTTTTCAGTCCTGAAGCGGTAAGGACCCTGCTTTCTGAGGTGGCAGGAGATCTGCTCTGGCTCTTGCGGTGTTTCTCCCATCAATTCAGGTGGAAGATCAGAGGAGAGGGAGCAGTGCGAAATTTCTGTCTGCTCTGGGAGCTATGACTGCAGGGCTGTTAAGTTTAATATCAAGCTTTTGATGCTGGCGTTGTTCCTCTGAACAGGGTCCAAAGACCAATTTAAAATTCTTAGGGAATCGTGTCACCACATTAGATGAACCTTACTCCCAGTGAGCTGGTATTCATTAAAAACTAGCTCCCTGGCAGCAAGGCTTTCAAAAAGCCTTTTTCAACATGGACATAGAGCAAACAACAACAGCAACAAGTATTTTTCTTCATCAAGATAGTACACATCCATAAATCTGAACCCTAATGTCACCTGGTCCCTGCAGCTAAGGGGAAGGATGCAAACCCGTTTCCAGTGTTTGCTTACACTTCTTTGCTCTGACGGCCGCGGGAGTTGCAGTTTGTGTGGTGCTGCGGGTGAAACGGGAACCTGTAGGTCTGTGAGTCTCCTTTCAGGCTCTGTTTTCTCCAAAGCCAGTGCAAGCTGAGGATTCTCATCACCTTGCAGGGCAGACCCAGAGCCTCTAGTCTCCTTCTAATATCTCACCTAATAATTGTGTTTTACTCAGTCAAAGCGTGTTCTGAGAATTACACGTGGAGAGTCTGTGAGCGGCAGAAGGGGCTGCCACAGCCCTGTACAGCTTGTACGTACATCAATCTGTCAGCATTAAATAACTCTGTTTTGTGACAAAGAGCCTGAATAATTTTGAGAATTTATTCTTGAGTGTAAATAAAACAAAATAGCCCACAGAGCAGCTCTTCTTTGCTATCAGAAAAGATCTGTGGTGGTGTGTGAATGAAATAGTGTATTGGTGGCTGGTAGCTGTAGTTGTGACTCAACCCTAAGCAGACTTCATTTGAACCCTGTTTTATTTCTCCCTGTTCTTCTGCCCTGTGGCTTTTGAAAAACTGTTAGAATACACAAAGCCCGAGTATTTCAAGAATATCTGATTTGTGTGTCTTTCTTCATACTGTTCGCTTTGAGAGGGTCTCCTGGCTTACGTGTAGCTTCGGACACCCTTCGGTGCTTGAATAAAGAGATGCGACAAAAGAGTCAGGAAATCTGATGTAATGTGTCACTAATGCCAGAAGAGGGTAGGCCAGTTCAAGGGAAATTTGCCTGACTTTTGTGCAGGTGGTAACTGGTTTTGGAAAAGCACTTTGTGCACTGAAGACCTTTTCATTGCAAGTCTTGCGGTATTTAGATTGTCCCTGCGGCTCTTAGTGCTGTTGGTTGTTTTTGTTTATTCTTACTACTGCATGTTTAAAAGCTCATATTTTTTTCTCTTCCAGCTCCTATGTTAGGTTTGATATACTTCGAAGGATAATGACTAGATTTTTTGGAATTGAAGTTATCATGGTGATGGGGATCACAGACATAGATGACAAGATCATAAAAAGAGCTAATGAGGTAGGTGTTTGCTGCAGTCTTTGACCCAAACTTTTGGTATTTTCTACAGCTACTTACATAGGAAAATTAATCTGGGTTTGGGTTTTTTTGTTGAGTTTTGGTTGGTTTAATTAGTAGATATTAAATGTTGAGATTTCTGGTCCCCTAGTATGGCTGTAATGGGGCTGTGAGTCTGGAGGGCTGGGCGTCGAGAGCTGTGTGGGGGTAAATGGGTGCAGAGTTGGGGGCGGGGGGGGAAGGCAGGGAGGGCTGTGTTACAGCACCCGCGTCTGGGGTCCTCCTGCCCTCGCCTCCTGCCTGGGAGGCCAGCGGGGAAAAAAAACCAGGGTGAATCCTCAACACAGTTGGAGAGTATCTTATCCCAAAAGCAACCCAAAACTTAGCAGCCAGTAGGCTTCTGGCTGTGTTCTGGAGAAGCGTTGTGTGCTCTTGATGGTTAAAGGTAGCATATATATGGCATTACCACATGGGAGGCTGAGGGTGGTTCCTGAAAGGTGCTGAGCACCATCTAGCTGCAGTGTCAGCGCCTTGGGAAGCTTTATCAGTCTTGTCCGAGTTCGTCACCTACATGAAAGTTGACATTGAGTGTAGGGGCAAGTCTTGATAAGACTGGGGCTATAAGGGATTCTCAGCTGTATTTGAATCAGACCTTTTTTACCAGCTGAGCTTGGTGAATGATTATTCCAATTCTTTTTTTGAAACACTTTTTGGACCCTGAAACGCTAAGAATGTATTCTGTGTTTTATTCTGCATTTTGAATTTTTTGTTTTGTGTTTAGACTCTGTAACTCATGTCTTCTGGATCATAAACGAATGTGTTGAATCAAATTGCAGTTGCAAGCTTTAAGCTCGTTTCTTAGAACCAGACAATTTGACAGCTGTCACTTTTATTTCATCTTTAAGTAAACAGTTACTATTGCAGTTAAATATAGGGCACTGCATTCAAACGAATACTAGTGTGCCACTCCTGTAGAAATATATGTGTGTTCCCTTAGTCCATTTACTTGCAGTTTTTTAAGGCAGTAAGCCATCTTAAAAAAAAAAACCAACCAAAAAAACAACAAAAAACCCCAAACCCCCCAAAACCACCAACAAACCCAAAAAACCCAGGCATTTCAAATCTATATGTGTGCATTTTAAAATTTTTCTGTATTATCAGAACATTATGGAGCTTTGGTGTTTGGAGGGGGAAATGTCATGATTGAAAAGAATTTGTATTCATTTACTGCATTCTTTGGTTCTATGGAGTAATCTTTTAATGGCTCTTCTTGTGGCTTTTTGAAATGCCTGCTCTGCTCTGCACATTTTGTTTGGATGTCCAAGGCCTGTACCTCAGTAGCCTGATGTTGTTGTTGGGTGCTCTGTACCTGAAGCTTTACAGTGGTAGGATCCACGTCCCTGAGCTTGTTCTCCATCCTTTGGTGGGATCCATCTAGAGAAAGCATGAATGTTGGGCATCTAGTCTCTGATGAGCGTGCCGAGTGCCCTCTCAAAGGACCTGAGTGGTCCTTTGAGAGAGAGATGAGTCTCTTTGTGTTTTGAACATCTTGTCTGGATGGGAGGCATTTCCCCATCTTCCTCCTATAGGCACCTTTGTCTCTCTGTTGATCAAAGAAGCAGCTGAGCTGTCCAGGGAGATGAGTCCCGTCGCTGGGGTCTGGAAGAGCACTCTCTCTGGTCTGTAGGCAGAAACACGCCTTCGTTTCTCAGTGCCGAGCATCTTCCTCGTTTCATTGCTGGATGAAATTCTTGTCTGTCTTCACCAGAACTCCTGCCTTGTCTAGGAGCTTGTCCAAATAGTGGTACCCACTTGCGCTCTGACAAGCAGACCCCTTAAAGATGCTCCAGTAATGAATTGGAAGTGATGAAACTGGGTTTGTTTTGTTAATGATTCAGTTGTCTGCAAGGTGGAGAGACTGCCAGTCTGTTGTCTTCTCCCCAGTAGGTTCTTCTCAGAGAAGATGTAAAAGCTTGGATTTGACACACTTTGATACCATGCTTTTGCTTGCTAGGGCAGGTTTTGCTGTCATGCATCTTTCAAGCCTGGCCTCTTCTGAATATTTGAGAATAAGTATCTTGTCATGTGCAAGTTGCCTCTTTCCTTTTGGGTTGTGCTTTCTCGTTACTTCTGCGAGGATCCCTGTTCCTGTCCGTCACACCGTGAATGAGAAATGTGGAGAAGGTGCTTGCGAAGTGCTGCACTTGGCAAAGCGTGGGACTGACTTTCAGTTCATTTCCCTTGATTGTGCCGAGATCTATGAGTAACCACGATCAGCTGAAATAGCTTATTTTTCTTAATCACTGGAAATTAATATCCTGTCTCATCCCGCAAGTCTCTGATCTGTCTTTCTGACATGTAGGTGGTATTGGTGTCCCCTGCCAATAAGTTGAATGAATTTCACGTCCCGTGTACTGTAGTATATCTTGTCACTGGAAATGGAAGACCCTCTCAAGAGGAAAATAATGAGCGAGGGAAGGCGTTTGTTATTTTAATCTTTGGTTGCTTTCGCTTACAAGATATGCATTAATATTTTGGCAATTCAGAAGCATAAATGAAATACTACTTTTAAGTTATAAATAACTTACATCTCTTCCCCATGAATGTTGGATTAATAAGCCTTTCTGACTCTTTACCTTGGGGGCTCGTTAAGTCTTCCAATTAGCTATTAACTGTCTGAGAAAAGATTGCAATATTTTATATTATTACTTTGATTTATGATTTAGTAATCTGCTTCTCTCTTTTTCAGATGAATATATCGCCAGTAGCTCTTGCTCGTATTTATGAAGAAGACTTTAAACAAGATATGGCTGCCTTAAAGGTACAGATACTTGAGCTTCTAAATTTAAGAGTATTTTAAAGCAGTTCTTCTGGTAAGAAATCTGGTTTGGACAGTTTGTTCTGAAAAGATGAATTGATTGCTTGTGTGGCAATGTTGCTTGGAAACTGGGTACTGATTTACTTTTTCATTCTTCTGGGAAGATACTGCACACCTTCTGAGTAAGGAAATGGGGGGAGAAGCAAACTAGATTTGGAATGAACAAGTTAAACATCTTTAGGAACATAGAATTTTTTTTTTTTTCCCATGCAATAGAGCCTTGGTTCACAGATAATACATATTTACTATAATGCAGAAATAATCTCATCTAAAGCATATGAAACATCAAATATTCTTTCATCGACTTCAGGCGTCTTTTGTTTCTTGTCCAGAGTACTTGTCAGAAGCAGGAAGTAAGCCACTGGGAAAAATTAGTGGATTATTTTTTTTTTGTCACCCCTCAATTTTTGGTGTGTGTGTGTGTGTATTATCTTAAATGCTGCTTATGACCTTTTTATGATACTTGCAATATTTTTTCTGAAAGATAAAATTGAGGAGAATCTTCTTTAAAATTTGTTTCCTAGAGTGAAGGGGCTTGTCAGCAGTGTGTTTCATACAGACTGAGATGTTACTCTTTCTTTGTTTAAGGTCCTTCCTCCTACAGTTTATATGAGAGTGACTGACAATATTCCTCAGATAATTTCCTTTATAAAAACAATAATTGCTAGTGGACAAGCTTACGCAACCTCGCAAGGTAAGGCTTATAGCAAGGCAACTCCTTGTTCAGCACAGGTACAGGAAATCAGTGCTCTTAGTAATCCTGTTTTGGGATCAGATGATTAACAGACAGGGTGTGAGCAACTTGTTTGTGATGACATGAGTGGGCAGAACAACTATTACTCAATTTCTAAGTTAAATGTAGCTTACTACTTAATATAATTGTTTACTGTAATGAACTGCTGTCTAAACTCCTGTGGGGCAGTCCTGGCCTGGCTTCTGCAAGAGAGTTGGGGGAGCCTCTTAGCTCTAAACAGGAGGTGCTGTAAAAGATGTGCCTGCAAAGCACGTGTGAATCTTTTTTTAGCAGAGCTGGTGATTGTAGAATCATTTGAGTGCATTATAACTGGAGTAGCAGTAGGCTACGTTTCAGTCAGAGAGGGGATTGATGATTGTGCATGGGCAGGGAAGAACCTGGGGAGATCTCCAGAATACGAAGTTATACTGTGTGCAGAATGAGCACATGCAGTGAGGTTACTGAAAAGCTGGTAACGTGGAAACATGTGCTGCTACTTTTGCAGTATTTATGAATTTATAAATCAGAATTTCCAATGGGAGTTGAAGGGCATTTTGTTTTGCTTTGCTTTCAGGGAAATGTTGCCTCTTCATCATGAATGTGCCCCATCTTTGCTATAAAACTAAACATTTCTTTTCTATTAGGCAATGTTTATTTTGATGTTAAGTCTTGGGGAAAAAGATACGGAGTATTAACTACTATTTATCCTGATACCCAAGATGAAGCAGGTATGTTCATGGCACCAACTTGTTTGTATTAATGCATTGTCTGAACTTGTGATGTATCTATGCATAAACCGTCATTCGACATCCTGAAACAGTTTTCTAACCTGTTGTGTATAACCAGCTTTTTGGTTAATTAAGACCTCATGTTTTTGTTTTTTAATTATTTATTGAGGCACTCGCTGTTGCCAGTGCAAGAGGAAACTTGGTGGTCTCTTTTCATACTTGGTTCCCTTTATACCTTGGTCTGGTACCCTGGAACAATTAAGATTCTTAATTTTATTTAAATACTTGGGAGTGGTACCTACAAACTTCATAGTGAGGTGGTGGTCTCAGCAATTGCATTAGCCAGCAGTTGAGGTAGTCAAGAGTAAATGCAGGGAAATGTCATCTGACATGTTATCGTTTGGGCAGTTGCACCCTTCTGATGTGTGCTAACCAGATTAATTTGGTTGTTTCATTACTTACCACTGGACTAGTGCTAAGCAGCCTATTTGTGTGAGGGTGAGCAATCTCTTGATAGGCTGTGTTAGAGCGTGCCTATACCCTTGGCTGGGTGGTTTTTGCTGCAGCTGTCCAGCTGCTGAGCAGGATTGCTGAGCCACCCTGTAGTGTCTGTAAGTTGGGTCTGATCAGGTCTCTGCGTTGGAGAATTTGATGCAGGTCTCCTGCATCCTTTGGACGCTGAAGTTCGATATTTCTTCATTGAAAAAAATCTGTTTGCAATTACTGAAAATGCCTGGCAGGCTGATACTCAGGTGAATCGCAGCCAGAAACCTCACAGCTCTACTCTGGAGTTGTTTTCAGCATTACAACTCGCAGAGGGAATGCATTTTGTCGACAGTTATTTAGAGGCAGTTACTGACTGCAAAGGCGGCCAACAGCCTCCTGGGCTGCATTAGGAAGAGCATTGCCAGCAGGTCAAGGGAGGCGATCCTTCCTCTCTGCTCGGCATGAGGTGAGACGTGCCTGGGGTGCTGGCTCCAGTGCTGGGCTCCCCAGCACAAGAGAGACGTGGGCATGCTGGAGAGAGCCCAGCAAAGGGCCACAAATACGATGAAGGTACTGGAGCATCTTTCGTATGAGGAAAGGCTGAGAGAGCTGGGAGTGGTCAGCCTGGAGAAGAGAAGGCTTGGGGCATCTTACCCATGTGTACAAATACCTGACAGGTGGCGTAAAGAAGATAGAGACAGGCTCTTCTCAGTGGTGCTTGGTGACAGGACAAGAGGCAATGGGCACAACCTGAAACACGGGAAATTCCATTTAAACCTAATAAAAACCTTTTTCACTCTGAGGATGGTTAACTCAAGAACACGTTGCCCAGAGAGGCTGTGGGGTCTCTGTCCTTGGAGACATTCAAAACCCGACCGGACACTGTCCCGGGCAGCCTGCTGTAGCTGAGCCTGCTCTGAGCAGGGGTTTCGCCTAGATGATCTCCAGAGGTGCCTTCCAGCCTCAACCATGACTGATTCTGTGTTTTACCCTGTTTCCCCTCAAGTCACTTAAAACTAGATTTACTGTTACTTCTAAAGATTTTGACTGTTGTTCTGCTTATAACCGAGAAGGTGAAGAGTGCTTTTTTGTAGCAGAATACTCAAAAAAACCCTCAAAGAACCAAAAGAGGGATGGAGTCAACAGATACTGTGATACTGGTCAGCCAGAGTTTGGCAAACTAGTGAAAGAGCCAAGATGAAGATTCGGCAGATAAAACTAAGGTTATATTTCTGTCCCCTTATTTTTATCAATTTTGAATGATCAAGCAGGTGTAATGGATTTTTGTAATGTGCTTCCCTTAATATTGCATGATGTTCTGAATAAAATCTGACTCTCTATAATATCAATAAAGTACAAGCGGAGTGGCTCAGGAAAAATGACCATCTAATAAATCTCCAAAAATAGCTCAGAATCATCATTAAAATGTATTGACACTGGAATGCCCCAGGGATTGTTTCAGACCCAGTGATACACTGTGGTTTTGTCAGCGATCTGAAATAAGTAGAGGAAAGAAGTAAATCTACTGTCAACTGCTGATAAAACAGATGAGCAGTATTAAATAAGGGAACTTAAAACAGCGTGGGTTGCTTGCCAAGCTGGATTCCTTCAAGCCAAATAGGTATATTGTTCCGCATCAGTCAAATGTGAGGTCATGTATTTGTCAGCAAAAAAAATAGAGTCCAGAACCCTGTTCTGTAGCTCCTGCCAGGGAGCGGGGTGTATCCAACTGGGGGTTAGGAGGCAGCAGAGGCGAACTGTCCTCTGCGGTACTGTGGCAAAAAGGGCTACGTCCTTGGCCGTGTAGTGAAGGAAGCAACAAATACAGCCAGGGAGGAGACCTTTGTAGAGAAGCCATTGGTGAAGATGGTACTGGAAGGTTGCTACTGTCCAAGAATAGTTTTGATCCTCATCTCTGCTCTTCTTGGTTTTATAGAATCTGAACCAGAACCTATTTGTGTCCCAGAGAAAAAATTGTGGAGTATTTAGTTTTGGGGTTTTGTTTTTCTTTTTTTTTTGTGGGTTTTGGTTTGGGTTGTTTCTGTTACCTTTTCTGCTGTGGTACAAACTGATTGTCTTGGGGAAACTGGCTGTTAAGTAACTAAATGAATGATGGAAAACCAGAGAAGGCCAAAAGGATAGGATGTATTAAAGAATCTTGAATCCATCTTTTTAGCCTGCAGAAATCTAATTCAACGTATTATTTTTTTCAAATGCTTGATTGAGAAAGTGGAACCCCTTATAAGGGGGAAGGGAGGAAAGTTGCAGGAAAAGAAGTTGAGCGAGAGAGATCAAAATCTGACTAGTTCACTAAATGCGCATTTCGACTTGCTTCCATTTGCTCTTTTTTTTTTTCTTTGAGGCATATCCCATTAACAAATCACTTATTCTTGGTAGCTGATACTGATAAACGACATGGTAAAGATTTTGCCCTGTGGAAGGCTGCCAAACCTCAAGAGATATCTTGGACTTCTCCCTGGGGAAAAGGAAGACCTGGATGGCACATTGAGTGTTCCACAATATCAAGGTCAGATTCCTTGGATTTTAAATCTAGTGCTGGTCTCTGTTTTCAGTCACAGCACAATGGTAGCGGCAGTATTGAAAGTGTTTTTTCTGATCAGTAGAAAACACTAGTTTTAATGTGAATACTTTGTGCAATTTGGGATGTCATGTGTGGCCCAAAGAAACTCTGCTCCACCTTAATGGCATAGCTGTCTTGCTATGTTCTTAGTACCTTCCCTCGAGACAGGCTTGGATATTTAAAAATACGCTGTGCAGGATCACACAGTTGATTAGCAAATCTTTTCACTTGAACTGAGTAACCAAAGTTTTAGTGAAAGTTATGGTAGCTCTTTCATTTGCCTCCCTTCCACTTCTTGTAGTCTCCATCAGACCTAGTTCAGCACGTAGTGCTGGGTCAGGAGGACAGGGCATGGGACTCCATCCCGACTCCAGTGAGCGTATGAGATCTTGCTGGCCTTATCTTAACAGCAGTTGTGGATGTTCATGCTAATCATCTAAGTGTTATTCAGCTTTCTTTAAGAGTCAGCCACGGTATTAAATATTCTGATTTCTCTGTGGCAGTATATTCTGTGGGCATGATGTGAATTGTGCGTAGTAGCGTTTTGCTTGCAGTTGGTTTAAATTAATTTGCTCTTAATTCAGAGTTTTATTTTCTCCACAGGATGGTAGTCCTTTGTCCTGCACTGTATTAGCTTATGACTTGTTAATTTGTATTTTAAAAAAAAAAGAGACATTAATTATTTCCTCCTGAAAGATTGATAGTGGTACTTAGTTTTGCATTAGTCTCAGATCTTTTTTTGGAAGCTAATAACAAATTATTTAGATCTGGCCCTGTTTAACTTAAGTTTTCAACCCAAGCTGAAAGTAGATGGAAAAGGTGCTTCAGGTTTCTCTTTCACATGCTTTGCTGGTGCACCTGGGGTTGTTAGTCATTACTACCTGATTGTGACAAGCATTTATAAGGGTGATTTTCTGTCTGTAAATAGTTTCGGCACTGTGAAACAGTTCTTAAAGCAACTGAAGTGCATAAAAACATGCTGTATTTCAAGTGTAACCTGTGACAGAAATGCACAGGTAGGAAATGCCAATTACAAAATGGCTTATCTGCTAATGCAGTGTGGTTTATAGTCTGCATTTCTTTCTGTAAAAACTCATTCTGCTGAGGCTGGATGAGGCTTCTGCTAAGAGTTGACCCACGCAGAACATAAGTGTAGTAATCTTGGACTGTGGAAAATGGAGAGCTTATGTTGGTAACTTACCTAAAACATGTTGCTGTCCCAGTCAGCTGTCCAAGGCCCATCTTAAGCAATACCTACTTACCTGTCTGTTTTGCCAAAGATCTTAAAGCACTTTAAGTAAGCTAGGTGAACTGATTTTGAAAAGTCTTTGAAGTGTCCCTTGGGAAGGTGAATGAGAAGGGCGTTGGTCTCTAATGCAGCCCTGGAGGAGGGAACCACCTGCTTTGACTTGGGTCTGATCTCCTCTCTGGAGTTTCCCTTGTGGTGAGATGGGCTGCTCCTCCTGCCCCTGGGCGTTTTGCAGATTTGTCTCTCCCCTCTCTTCAGCTCTTAATGGTTTTGTTGGAGGAAACAGCAAGTGGCCAGTGCTCCTCTGTAGATGGCACAAGGGAAGGCATGAGCCAGGGCCGCTCCTGTGATGATCTGTGCTGAAGGTGGTTTTGGAGCAGACAGGAGGAAGCAGAGGGGCACAAGCTTGGGAAATGGCAAGAGCTGGTCTTTCTTCCCTCTTCTCCTCGTCTTCTTTTCTTCTTGTGCCCCAACTGCTTCTGCAGAGCCATCGTGAGCCAGGGTGTTAACAGGGTGTTTTGTCCCAAAAAGGGACATGGGATTCCATCCTGACTCCAGCAACCATATGAGATCTTGCTGGCCTTACCTTAACAGCGGTTGTGGATGTTCATGCTAATCATCTAAGCATTATTCAGCTTTCTTTAAGAGTCAGCCACAGTGTTAAATATTCTGATTTTCTCTCCAGGATGGTAGTCCTGTGTTTCGTAGTGTACTGTTTTGTACCAAAAAGGGACACAAACAGTCTTTCCATATGTCACATTAACAAGTTGCTCCTGGTAGCTGGCTAGAGAGAGAGAGAGAGAGATACATGTTTGTGTCTGTGTGTACACACACATGCACGTGTGTATGTGGCTTGCCTTTTATTTTCTATTTGTGTAGACCTTGCATCTTCCCGAGCTTGAGTGTGCCTGGTTTAATCATGGGCAAATATGGGTCCTGCCAATACAAGTTCTGCTGCAGTTTCGGTGTCCAACGTCTGTGTAAAGCCTTGTTTTAAAACTGCAATCATTAAACTGTACACTCATATTTATGATGTTTCATCTTATTCTTTTCTGCATTTCTTTTACAAAAAGCTTTTGTAGTGTTCTACTTACCGATCAGGAAAATATTGTTACAGTGCAGTGTTTGGAAAGCAGCTGGACATCCATACCGGTGGAATAGATCTTGCATTTCCTCATCATGAAAATGAAATTGCACAGTGTGAAGTGTATCATCAGTGTGAGCAATGGGGGAATTACTTTTTGCATTCTGGTAAGTAAAAATATTAATCGCATGAGAGGCCTGTACAAATATAGGGGTTTGGGTTTTTTTAGGTTTGGAATTTGTATGGTATGAAAACAGATGCTTTACTACAGTGACCAAGTTCCTGTCCTCACTAAGTGAAGAAACATAAGTGAGAATGAATCTTGAAACTGTAGAATGAATGCCTTTATTAATAAAGCAGTTACAGTGAAATATTCCTGAATTTCATCTGGGCAGATCTCCAAATAATAACAGCATATGCGTTGCCTGTGTACAGTGTCTACTCCTAATTAAAAATGTAGAAAGAAGAATTTTTCCTGTAGAATCTCATTCCCTTTCATTTGAGTTTCCTCAAAATTTGAGGGTACTCTTTGTGATAGGCTTTCTTTTTTAATTGTATTTTGGCTGTAACAGTCCTGCAGGAAGGGGGTGAAAATAGTTGATCTTTTCTATACGTGTTTATGTAGTCGTCCTAAAACCAGAAACTCCTGCTGTCTTAGGACCAGAACCCTCAGTATCTGAAGGCAGGGAGTGGAGGTGGCAGGTGGGCAGGTTGCTGATTGTAACGTTTTAAAAGCATTGAGAATAGAATAAACCAGTCTTGTTCTCCAGCATGTCTCAGCATCAGTTGTTTGTGGGCTTAAAAAAAACCAGTTTTCAGTAGCATGCAGAATCGAATAGCCTGTGTCTGTAAATACGGTGAAAGGCTTTTAATCGTGATAAGAAAATACATCTGTACTACTGGAAAATAAGAATGGAGAGAATGCTGAAATACATGAACTGATGAACCAACAAAGGTCACAAAGTTGTGATCCTGCAGAGAAATGTCTGGGGCTGGGATGTTTTGTATGGCTTGAAATGTGGGGGAAACCTTGCAGGCAGACACTCTGCTGCAGCCACCAACCACTGGACATTCTGTGTGTGCAATTCACATACCTGTAACTATTTAAATTCTCCTGGGAAGCCTTATTTATCGAGCAGCAGTGTTATGCCTAGTGATGGGTATGAGAAACAAGATTCATGCTGAAGACTAAGTGAGTTAGATTCTTTGGTCTGCTCTGGTCAGGCATGGTCAATGAGGTTGCTGGTGGGTAGAGGCAAGGAGGTCTGTGACGTCTACAGACTACACAAAGACCAAGTTGCTCACCCCTTGGCTCTGTAGAAAAGTGGTGATATTAGGTCTCGTTAGTATGGTCCCTTAACCCTCTCTAGTGCTCTGACCAACTTCAGTGTCTCTCTGCTTTCCTGTGGAGTGTGAGTGACTTGGTGTAGTCTGTAGATGTTACAGACCTTGTCTCTTCCCCCAGGAGTGACCTTGCTGGTTATGCCTGACTGAACCGTACCAAAGCGTCTTTTACTTGCTTGGTCTTCAGCATATGATACTGCCTGGCATTATGTGGAACTGCTCCTTGCTGCCTTTGCACAATAGTGCTTCGGCAAAGTTTGTGCTGTACAGTGCTTTGAACTACATCGTTGTCTGATGGTACTAGTGCTGTTCCCATTGACGGAAATCTTGAAATTTGCTCTTCCTATTGCAGTCGTGGTGGTTCTGGGTGGTCTCCAAAGAACTGAAGTCAACAGAAAGTCAGGTTCAAATCTGCAGTCTCCCTCCTTGCTGAACAGTACTTTGTGCAAGACATCTTGGTGAGCTCTTTGAGCTGCTTCCCTGAGGAAGAGATGCAGAGCTAAGCCTGTGCTACACTCTGGGAATTACTTGGGCTTTCTTTTTTGTACATATTTGTACTGTATGGGATGAATATTGAGTTTTAGTTTCAGTTCCCAGTGTAGAGCCTGTTATAAATCAATAGCAATTGTCCAGAGGCTGGTGCATTCTCCAGGGTGTGCTTTGCTCCTGAAGTGCTGGGGAATTCTCTGCACTTCTGCTGAGAGGCACAGGTTACTGCCAGGTGGAGCCTTCCACTGAAAACCAGTGATTCTGACTTTTCAAGCTTGGAATTGAAACTACAGGGGAAATATTCTTTGAAACTAACTACCTAAAGAAGAGTCAATTTTTCTTTTTTTTTAAAAAAGAAAAAAAAAGGTAAAATAACTTAATTCCAAGGGCAATTTGTACACTGAGGTTCTCTAGGAGTTGACAGATTACATTCATTAAGTCAAAAAATTTTGCTGGAGGATGATAGTGTGAATTATTTAGGGCAAATGAATCAGCTTCAGAAACAATTTATTCTGGTAACAGACTTCAGAATTTTAGAAGGCTCAGAATTGGAGGAGCAATCCCCATTAGAGGAATAAAATCCCTGCAGTGGGGATAAATCTTCTTATAAGGATTTTATTTTTAGACTACTTGTACTCTGGGAAGAGCGCCAAGCCAAAGTTATGAAAATCCTTGTATTTTGTGATTCTTTAATGAAATAATTCTAAATGCTGAAACTCTTGAAGAGGAATATTATTTCAAATTCAGATGTTACCTGTACCTTATTAGGAAAACACAATCAAACTGTTTTAAGCTTGGCTGCCTAAAGTTAAGCAAGTCAGTATTTAGGCACCTTTGCAGAAGAAAAAAATAATAATTGTACCCAGGCTCTTCCCCTTCTCCCAGGAGAAGTTTGTGAATTTTACTTGAGTTGCAAGAGCTGCAGGTGTCTAGTGCCTCTGACAGCCTGAATGTTCTTATTGAGGGCCCTGAGTTTAACCATGCAGTGGTGGAAATGGCCTTACCTGCTAGCAGTCAGGACAAACACAATGAAAATGAGATTTTTGGTTTGATTGTAGGTTTGTGCTGTAGCTGGTTCTGTATCCATAGATCTCTTGATTCTTTCCTACTTTCCATAGAGTGTGTTGTGCAAACCTTAATTTCCAGGTGGTCGGGGTAGAACTGGAGGTAGCCTTCTTATGGAGAATCCCCACTGCATTGAATGGTTGTCAGAAATAGCTAAGTGAAACCAGATGCTTTTCATGTCCGTTTACCAGGCCTGAGTGTGTTGCTTTTGTATCCAGACGAGCGTAATGGGGATTTTATCTGCTTGTGGAAGAGTGCGGGTTCCAGGCAAGGCTGCAAAAAGCAGCGCTGTGCGGAGAGCAGCACAAAATTCAGACACCTACTTGGGCTGCTGAGGAAGAAATGCCACCCCTGCCACCACCTGTAAAGGCAGGAACATGATCATATGTTGTCCTTGCGGAACACACTCTGAGGTATCGGTAACGCTGGACTGCCAAATCCGAAAGCATGCAGAGCTCTGATGTGGTATGAAAGAGCAAGAAAAGTTCGTGCTTATAAATCTGCCTCTAAGTACAATTAAGTGCTGGATTCTGCAGGTCACGAAGGGCCTGAAAATTGTGTGTTAGTTGTGGGTGCTTGGTAATTTACAGGATTACTCTCTTATTAGGAGAAGCCAGTTAAGGCTTTTAACAACATTTCTGAAATGACGCTGAGTAGTCTTTTATTCGCTATGTGTTTGGCATCTCTCCGGCGCTGTGAATAATTGATGTTTTCCATCAGTAGTGGTGCTGTGGCTAGCCTGGGAGCGTACAGCCTGAGGTTGCCCATCTCCTGTCTTGCTTCAACAGAACTTTTAGTCCTGAAGCTGAGCTCTATGTACTCTCCTAGATGCGACGGAGATGGTTACTGCCTTTTTCATGTACCACAGCCCTGCAAACAGACGGTCCATGTGGCTATTGAGAGCTCTAGCAATGCTCAGAGACTGCATTTTAAAATAAGCTAATTCAAATTAGGCATCATAGCTACATCCCTCCCTCCCCCTTCTTTCTCTCAGTCTCCCAAAGAAGTAGGGAACGTGTAGAAAATTCACTTTACACATAAGGTATTTTGAACCAGCACAGTAAACTTTTGGATTTAAAAAAACCCGGTGTAACAGCCACCAGCAAGTAGTAAGTGCAGACAATTGTTTGAGGTATTGTAATGTGAGATCACTGGAAGATCTTTAAAGGCCTTTAAAATATTTCAAAAGTCAAGAATAACGGGTAAGGTACTTGTCTGCAAAGATTGAAAAGTAGTTCCTTGCTTGCTTGTTTTTATCAGTTTATTATCAATTCTGAGCAGGGGGACTTCTTGATTTTTCCTCATTAATGTCTCTGCTCATGGTGGTGGTGTTTTGTTTTCTGGGTTTTTTTGTGGTTTTTAAACATTTTCTTTTCCTATGTTTTAAAATTCACCCAGCCAAAGTTGAGGATGGAGAGGTGTACAGGACTCTAGGCAGAGCTATTGAAAAATGTTACATGTTGCATTGAAACAGTTGGTGCGTATCCCTCACAGCATGTGCTGCCTCCAGTGTTTCCAGTGTCACAGTGCAATCTTTCTCATTCACTTCCCATTCAAAAGCATGCTCATTTATCCTGATTAATTTTTTTTCATTCTAGGGCACTTGCATGTTAAAGGAAGTCAAGAAAAAATGTCCAAGTCATTAAAAAACTACGTAACGATTCAGGTAATCTATTTCTGTGAATTGAAGAAATGTATGTTTGTAATATGTAAATATTAATCATAGCCCGTTTTTGAGAAAACACTGGACCGTGTGCTTATGCTGCCGCAAAAGACCTGAAATGGAGTGTTTCCTGGTGCTGGTGTACCTGTTATTGTGGATCTGGATGTAGGAAACCTGCTCGGACTCAGGATTTGCTTGTAATATGGATCTCACTGAGGGCATTTGTAGGAGCAGCGTTTGTGCCCAAAACCAGACTTCTGCATTATAGGTTTATGGTTGGACTTAACCATCTCAAGGGTCTCTTCCAGTCTAAATGATTCTGTTCTATAGCGATGGGTAATCATCTGTCTACTCTTAATAGTGTGTATGCTTTTGGGACTTAGAAAAGAGCGGATGTTTTTCCTTGTTCTGCTTTAGGTGAAATGGGACGTAGTAGCAGCACTTTGCCAGGAAGCTGTTGGGTGTCCTGCAACCACCCTATGCCAGCCGTCTCTCATTCTCCTTTATTTTTATACGGTCACCTTGCTGACGCACAGAGAGCTTTGTCTTTTGGTACCCACGAGTCACGTGAATATGTCCTGTTTTACTGTGTCCCAAAGTTTTTTGGTGTAGCCCAGAGCAGGGTTTCTCTGCCAGGCGTGTGCGACAGAGCTGTGCTTGGCACTGGGTGGCTCCCGTGATGGCTGGTGGCTATTGCTAGAAGTGGGTAATTTCCTTCCTTTTGACAAAGATTGAGAGGCTGTTTCAGCACATATGTTCCCCTTTGCCCTCTTGGAAGACTTAATTAAAATCCCTTTAAAAAGGAGTTCAATATGAGCTGCTTTGTTCTTAATTCTCCTGATGCTGTCTGGGTGCAGTTGAGCCCTGTCTCCCCCAGGAAAATGACCCATCCCTCACAATTTTCACAGAAATTTCCTGTATCTCAGCAGACGTTGTGAACAGGGTGGAGAAATGAACCACAAATGCAATGCATGCAGTTAAAAATAGTGTATAGAAACGTTCCCTTCCATATCTGCGGTGGGACGACTTTGTGTTGAGAAAAGAAAAACTTCAGGCCTGTCTCTTTTCCCTTGCAGGTCTCTGCCTTTAATTTCTGCCCTTAGACACAGCTGACAAGTATTAATCCTTCCCTGTAAGCGATTTTCAGTCCAGTGAAACAAACTTCTTCCCGTACAGCCTTCCTGCATCTTGAAAGTTAAGCCCTATGTGGAAGTTTTTATGCCCGCTCCAGAAGAGGGGAGGCCTGTCCGGGACGGGGCCTGGGGCATTCCCTTGGTCCCGCCGGCGGCCATTTGCATTCCAGGCCGTCACCCCGGCATGGCCACCCTGCGTCCTCTGCGTCCCGCTGCCCTGTCTTCCCTCACCCTTGTCCCATTCGGCAATATATATATTTTTTTAAGTATATATATATAGTATATATTA